AGATGGATACTACCAAGGAAGATGAAATAGATGAGAGAGGAATATAGCTTCCTTTAGAAAGAAAAAAGGGGGCAAAAAAAAAAAAAAAAAGAAAAGAAACGACTCTTTTTTTTTCAAAACCAGGTTGTTGTAGAGGCAGTGTATCAGGCCCGGGGATACTTTCCGGGCTTCATTCAGTCACTCGAAATTCGGAATGACCTACTTGGCCCTCTGGACCTTCCTAGACGGAGACTCACGGAGTCCTCTAGGGGTAGCCATCAATAGGAAAGCCGAAGCCATAGCTATGCCCTTGGAGTCTGGTGAGACAGACAGGGCACGCTTATCGAGACTACAGGTAGAGACATCGCTGCCGCATCGCTGCCATCGCTGTAGATTTCTTCAAGAAGAGAACTGCTGCTGCAGCTGCCCTTTTGACTTTTTTGTAAGGACCTGCCAAACATGGACTGAGAGACACAGCTGATTGCTGAGTTTTGCCAATGGGATGTATGCCTTGCTGAGTTTCCCGCGTGTTGCTGAGTTTCTAAGTCGAGACTGAGTGTGTGCGTGCTTACTGGTCTGTGTGCCTGTCTGAGTGCTTGTTGGCTTGAGCGTGTGTGTGACCCACAAGGGCACTTGTTCGTTCGGGAGGGCCGAAGGGCCGGTACTTACCTGTGGCCGTGACATTGGGGGTGGAAAACACTCGAGTGGCGGGAAAGAGGCCAGCGACACTTAGAGCAGCAGAAAACACTCAAGTAACAGGTAGGCAGGTACCACACCAAGTAGCGGTAGATGTGTCGGGTACTCGAGGCCGAGCAGAACAACTTCAAGACAAAGTTGGCATTTTTTAGAGGCCCAGTAGCTGTAGGCTATGTCTAGGCGGGTACCAGTCCAAGTAGTCTGAGTCTAGGGCCTGTACGGGCAATATCAGAGTCTGCAGTCATGATGCTTCCCCTCCAAAGGGAGGAGGTACTGGTTGCTTGGAGGCCGGGCGGCCTGAAAGTCACCACCCAAGAGGCAAGCAGGCCGCTATATCTCCTGGAGGAGCAAAGAGCTCCTCCTCATTCTACTGTGTGCAAGTTTGGCGACACACTGCTTGGAGCACTGGTTGGAGCAGCGCTGCTGGGGAGGAAGGAGCGCCCAGCTCTCCACATCGGCTATGGTGGAGGAGCATGGGCTGGAGGAGGAGGTAGACAAGGACTACTAGGAAGGGGGAGGGCCAAAGGTACTTACCTGGCTATGGTGGGTACCATCTTCATCACCTTGGTGGGTGCTGCATCTGGAAGGCCCAGTTGGGGTAGAGCTACTCCAAGAAGCTTCGAGGCAGAGTCGGGCATGGCGGCCTGAGCTAGAGCAGCCATAGCTGCTTTGAGTTGTCTTTTGCACATTAGGGCAAGGCCCTAGCAGTCCGCCACAAATGGTTAACGGGGACCCCCATTTTCAGGCCCTGGGTATGGTCTACACTCTACGAATTGGTGGCAAGTTTGATTAAAATGACCCTTTGGTTTCTTATAAATGGCATGGCAAGTGGTCTGAAAATTAGGGTCTCTGTTAACCTTCTCTCAGCATAGGCCTTCAGGAAGAGGAAAGAGAAGGATGGCCATGGCTATGGTGGATCTCATGTTGTACCTGCAGTAGAAGAGGGATTCGGACATTGCTTCTGGTTCAGCCATTCAACATTATTATTATTATTTATTGTTTGAATAAGAGAGGCGGAGAAAAGGAGGAGGAGAGTGGTTGGTGAGAAGAAGGGAATTGTCATTGGCCTTTGCTGGTGTACATCTTCTTCTTCTTCTTTCTTTCTTCTTCTTCTTCTTCTTCTTCTTCTTCTTCTTCTTCTTTCCCTCCCTCTCCTCTCAAGTTCGTTCATTTCTTGTCGCAATTGGACGGCATTGTCCTTTCTCATGAATGTGTACTTGAAATTAGCCAAGATTATAACATTGGTATCAGAGCGGATGCTACTTGCTGGCAAGAGTTGACTTTGCTGCCCTACCCCTAACCTAAGTGGTTAAGGGCACCACTTAGGGTGATGGTTGGTTTGACATTCAATTTGGAAAGTAGGGCAGTGTGGTCTAGGGAAGCTGCCCCCACCTGGCAGGGTCGTGCTGGGTCGGCATTTGACTCGCCAGGTTGCTTGAGAGTAAGTTTGGGGTGGCGAGACATTTCGTAGAGACTTCATGGGACAATTTGTGAGAAGCGACACTGAGAGGCACTCGCACCCAGAATCTGATTCAAGGGAGTAGGCGAGTTTGAGGGAAAGCAGACATTCTGCATCTACAGACTGCAAGTTGCTACTTTGTTTGCTACTTTGTTTGCTACTTTGTTTGTTACTTTGTTTTTCAGCATTGGTCGAGGATACGGCGTTACACTTGGGTGCTGGAGTCAGACCCTCCTACGAGATGGGACACTAGTGTATTGGTAGCGTTACAAGGGTCAGGAGGATCATATGAGAGGGGGGAGAGTTTTATTCATCTCGAAGTTCAGGTCACCCGGGTAAGTGTTGTGTACCTACGGGATGTCTATATGTATGTGTGTATGGCATTGTTTGTCCTGATGGGGATATTATGGGTTTCTGTCCTACTCCTCTACGGTCCTTGCGTGTCTGAGTGTGTGAACTACTTACTCACCAGATGGATGGAGAAATGAATTATCTTGGTTTGAATGTTGATTCCTTCTACAATGCTTTGTTTTTTCATCTTTGAACGACTGTAGTCTGTAGGTTCTCTTTGAAAGTTGAAATTCATTTTTCAGTATGGTAGAGGCAGAATGTAGGTCCGCGTGGGACTCCTTTTGGTTGGGACTCAGTCACGGCCTACATGGGACCCTTGGGGACCCGGTGGAACCGGGCCCAAGCAAGAAGGGACCCTTGGGTCCAAATTTGTTAGACATTGGTTCATTCTCTTTCTAACTAGGATTCAAAGTTTATTCTTTTGTCAGGACACTCACTGCCGAGCGAATCTCGGTTGAGGCATTTCACATGCTTTTACTGCACTATCTGTGACTTGTCTCGCATCTTATACACCACTCAATTCTCAATGGTTGCATGTCCTCACTCATTGTCTGATTTGCTATATGTTCACGAAACTGGTCAGGCTAGACCCAAGGGGATCTCATATTCAGACTGGTCAGGCTGAGTCACTAGATCGGACCTCTCATTTAATTTTTTTCTATTTTTATTGTTTTTAACTCTCTAGTCAAAATGAAATGTCGCTCCGGCTAGGAGTTTTACCTTCTCTTCCTTTGAACTTTTCAATCTATTTATTTTTATGACTTCATATTTTGATGCCCATGGAGACTCGTGGACAAAGAGACGAGAGAGAAAGAGTGGAGAGAGAGAGAGCACTCATCTTGAGGGACTTGTTGAGTCTTTTTCCGTAATGTTTGTTGAAACCCCGGTAGTTCTAACATGGCAGTGGTAAAGGCATTTGTGACCTTAAAGGCCCGATTGGATGTGTCCGATAAAGAGGACAAACCACTGCTCCAAGTCCTCTATGACAAGGCGCTGACAAGGGAAGAGAAGGCGAAGGAGGAAAAACGGAGAACCGCTCTTGTAGACCATGAGATTGTCTTCAAAACAGTCCCCTCCTTGGTCGACACTGAGGTCAAGAAAGATTCAGTCAAGTATATATGTGCTTTTATAAACGGTTACCTGCTCAATGAACTTCCTGCTCAAATCTTCAAATTGTTTGACTAGGTACTATGATGGAATACTGGTCTAATGATGATATGCAATTTCCCTGTTGTAAATATTGAAAGTTATCCCAACAATAAGATGAGTATGAATTTTAGAACCCACTGAAGTTTCAAAAGTGAAGAACACTTGTTGCAAGAAAGCAAAGGTAACAAAAATAATAAATTACTAAACAAACTTGCGTTAAACCACCAATACATCCAACTATCGGCTGCCGACCCTTTTCGGAGGCCACGCGCCACCGATTCAATTTATCTATGGCGCTGGGACTATGAAATTTTTGTATTAGACGAGTTTTCTTTTCAGCAAGGCTGGGGCCGTGTACTGGCAGTTTAAGAAGAAGATGACAATAACTAACTTTCAATCGACAAAATTTAAATCACTAGTACTTGGCCCAGTTATCGATCGCAGAAGAAAAAAAAGTAAAAACGTTTCTAGTCGGATGAATTTGGGCGCTCCTGTAGTAGCCCGTACGTTTCCTAAAATTGTGGCGCGTTATTGGACACGACTCTAAGAAGTACTGGTGGTTTAAGGTGTGCAGTAGGATGGGGCCGGTGTATGCAAACAGTTGGCAAGTCACTCTTCTCTCTGATCAAGGCCGAGATGAATTAAATGACAAAGCTTTGACTCTAACCGAACTTTTTTCCCTCTATTGCGCTCCCTGCTCTGTACATCGTGCACTTCCCTGTTGTCCTAGTAGGCAAGAAATCCCAAAGAAAAAGGTTACACCTACTTACGAAAGAGCTACCAGAGTTGTGGAGACAGCGGCATTAGGAGCCAGATCCAAAAACGGGCTCAGGGGTGGTTTGACAAAAGGTTTTTTATTGAACCAATTAGTGAAGTTAGCCTCATTGCACTATGGGTCAAGATACAGTTTGCTATTGGAGTTCGGGCAATGTGTACAACCCAGCTTTCTGGCCAGGTAGGGTGCCCCAAGTGCAATTGCAAACTGTATCTTTCCCGATAGTGC